TTGTTGTTGTTGTTGTTGTTGTTGAGAATGATGATGATGTTGCCGTTGTGTTTGTTGTTGTTGAGCGTGTGTTTTTGGGTTGTGTGCGTTGTGTGTTTTTGCGATTGAGATTGTGACTTCGTGACGTGTTTCTTGTGTTGGTTGATAGGTTTTGAGGTGGTATGTGCGCGTCTTACGGGTGTGTTTGTTTGATGATATATTCTGATGATTTTGAGTTTTGTCTTGTGTTTGTGTTTTATGAGTAGCCGCCGGATATGTCAGTGTATTTTTGATGTATGCTCAGATGTGACTGCTCCTGCCTTTAACGTGGTTGGCGTGCTTGCATATCGCAATGACCCAATGAGTTTTGCTGTTGGAACGTTTTTTTCCTCTAGGTGTTACGATAGCAGAAGTTTTCGTTGGATAGTGTTCTGAGGAAAAGTCGTTATCGTTATAGTGTAAATCGCTTCACTATTATGGGGATCTGAGATTGATGTCGTTCTGCTGCTAGCTGGATGTGGTATGACAGCAGTAAAGTGCTTCTCTTGGATGACTAGCAGTGATATGCTGATGCTGCCTTCTCAGTGGAAGGGGGGTTAGAAAAGGTCGGCCCCAAAAATAACACACTCCACCACGGCCCACGGTTTGCCTGGCCGGCGGTGTTGGTTCACTTGTCGTTTCCTTTCGACCATCCGGCCCCAAAAATCAAAAATTCAAAATAATCATACTCAAAAGGCTGGGTGTGACAGGCCTCAAGCAGATGTCCGATGGGCTCTGCGGTCACACAAATCTCTTTCAGGTACCTTAAGAAGAAATAGCCTTCCACGGTGTGGGCAGCCGGGAAGTGTCAACCGCCCTCACAACTCTGTCAGCACCCAAGTTTCTTCTGACTGCTATCCTCCTCCTCCATCATTACCTTCTAATCTTCCTTCACGTCTCTTAATTAATGATGCTGCATCATCTTCAATTTCTCCTACCTCTGCAGCCTTCGACAACGATCTGAGTCCACAGAACAGCATCCCTGGTCTCCTTAAACCACGCTCCAAATTACATATTGGAGCCTTCAATGTCCGCACCCTCCGTCAAATTGGCCAACAGGCTTCGTTGGCAAAGACTCTAGCAACTCGGGCATGGATGTGTGCTGTGTTTGTGAGACACGCATACAGGACCCAAGTGTGGTTATTCACCTGACCTCTCCTGACCAATCTGGTGAATCTGCAAAATTCACCCTTCGAGTTTCTGGAGATTCGATAGCTAGCTCTCGTGGTCTTGCAGGTGTAGGTATAGCATTAAGCACCAGGGCAGAAAACTCACTACTAGACTGGATCCCAGTTGATAGTCGCCTCTGCGCTATGAGGCTGAACGGCACAGTGAGAACTAAAAGGAATAGTGAGACTCGCCGTTGTCTCTTTGTAATCTCTGCTTACGCACCCACTGACTGTAGTTCGGATGAAGTGAAGGACGAGTTCTACCATAAACTGTCTAACCTCCTCTCGAAAGCCAAACGTTCGGACGTAGTGGTTGTTGCAGGTGACCTCAACGCACAGGTGGGTAGACTGAGTGAGGCAGAAAGGCACTTAGGTGGCACTTTCGGAATCCCAGCTGAACGTACAGATAACGGTGATCGCCTATTACAACTATGCTCAGATAACCGCCTATTTTTAGCCAGCACAAATTTCAGACATAAAGAAAGGCACTGTCTGACCTGGCGTCCACCGAGCTCGACTCAGCGATGGACACAGATAGACCACATTGCTATTAGTCATCGCTGGAGAGGATCGGTGGAAGACTGCCGCTCCTTCTGGAGTACGTGTTTGGACAGCGATCATGCGTTGGTCCGAGCACGTATATGCCTGCGTCTCAATGGACGTAGAAAAAATTTGGCAACAAAACCACTACGAGTTCTGCTGGACAACGAAAACACCAAAGCCGTGTTCAGTGAGAAGTTGGCTAGGCAGTTATCGGAACAAAAGACTGTCACTCATCCAGAAGAAGCTTGGTGCCATCTTCAGTCTACTGTAAAAGCAGCACTGGAGACTGTAGCCGACTCCAAGATAATGGCTAAAAAGAGCCAGTGGATATCAGCAGCTTCTTCCAAACTAATGGATGCACGTGAATGCATCCCTGCAGGCTCTGAGTACAATGAAGAGCGAGCGCAACTTAAAAATAAACTGACGAAAAGTCTGCGCAACGATCGTGAACAGTGGTGGGCAGCAAAGGCTAAAGAGATGGAAAAGGCAGCGGCGATCGGTAACAGTAGACAGTTATTTAGACTTATTAAGGAGACTGGGGGGAAATGGTCAACAACAGTTAGTGAGGTTATAGCGGAGAAGGACGGATCGGCGATTCACTCGCAGGGAAGGCGACTGGGACGATGGGCAGAACACTTTGAGGAACAGTTTAACTGGCCTCCAGCCACCATTGCGCTGCCCGCTATCCAGTCGGACCCTGAATGGGACATAGAGACAGGTCCCCCAACACTAGAAGAAGTTGAGAAAGCGGTAGGTAGCCTGAAACGGGGAAGGGCAGCAGGACCAGACGGACTACCTGCTGAGGTATACAAGAATGGTGGTAGAGTTCTCTTAGTCAGGCTAACGGAAGTGTTAGCCAGTATATGGGAATCAAATACGATCCCCTCCGACTGGTCTAAGTCACTCATCATCCCAGTCTTCAAGAAAGGCGAGAAGTCCTCTTGTGATAACCACAGAGGAATCAGCCTGACAAACATAGTGTCTAAGATCCTAAGTTCTATAATTCTCCGACGCCTGAGTGGAGCTCGGGAACAGCAAGCCCGAGAAAACCAGGCAGGCTTTAGACCTGGCCGTGGATGTATCGACCAAATATTCACACTGCGCCAGGTCCTGGAACATAGGCATGCTTACAGACGCCCGACAATAGCTGTATTTCTCGACCTGAAGGCGGCATTTGACTCCGTTGATCGAGAAGTCTTATGGCAGTGTCTGTCACTGAAAGGCGTGCCTAGTAAGTACATCACCTTATTGAAAGCTCTCTACTCGAACACTTGTGGGCATGTTAGAGCCTATGGTGAGTTGTCCAGGGAGCTATACTCATCAAGTGGTGTCCGTCAAGGATGCCCACTATCCCCATTCTTATTTAATTTTATCATAGATATTCTTATGGAGGTTTCCCTCTCGTCACCTAATTACAAAGACGTTGACCCGATCACAGGTGAATTTTCCTTAGATCTAGAATATGCAGATGACATAGTCCTGTTAGGTGAAGACGCTGACAAGATGCAGAGTCTTCTGAACACTTTGAGTGGGAATTTGAGATGCGATTTTCACCACCCAAATGCAAATTTTTGCTCCAGGACTGGTCTTCAGCGGTACCGCGGTTAACAATAGAGAGTGAAGTGGTTGAGTGTGTTGACCACTTCACTTACCTGGGAAGTAGGATCAACCCGGTGGGTTAGTTGCCGATGAGATTTCTGCACGGATACAAAAGGCTCGATTGGCTTTTGCCAATTTGCGCCACCTATGGCGCCGCCGTGATATTCGTTTGTCTATTAAGGGTCGCGTGTACTGCACAGCAGTCCGCTCTGTTCTACTGTATGGCTGTGAAACATGGCCATTGAAAGTGGAGATACAAAAAGGTTTCAGGTGTTTGACCACCGTTGCCTTCGTAGTATAGGACGTATTCCGTGGTGTCACCATGTGAGTAATGCAGAAGTTAGGTGTAGAGTTTTAGGGAGAAGAGGTAAGTCAGTCGACGAGGTTGTGAACCTTCATCGACTGAGATGGTTGGGACACGTACTACGTATGCCTAGTCACCGATTGCCTCGTCACACAATGTTGGCTGAAGTGGGTTCAGACTAGAAAAAGGTGCGAGGCTGCCAGATCAAGACATGGCATCAATGCATGGTCTTTGACTGTTGGTTTAAGTCATGTGGGACAATGCAGACTAGGTGGTTGGGGTAGGCAGGACAAGAGGAACCAGTGGTTGGAGACCCTAGGTGATATGGCTCAGAACCGAAGTCAGTGGGGCAGATGTATACATACATTATCCTCATCTTAACAACGCTATACCGAATCTCACCATTTTGTCACTCCTCTTTCCTTTCTTCTCGTACTTTATATTTCATTTGACTGCATTCACTTATCTTCATCCTTCGCCTCACTACCTTTTTACTTGATGTGCTGATATGAGGTGTGGCAACTTGGACCGTTAAACAGTAATGCCTGGCCCTATGTTGATAATGATGATGCTTAGATGATGGATGCGGCGATAGGGTAATTTGTCGGGTTGCACATGCAGGTTTGCCATTTACAATCTTTGTCATCACAACCGACAGACATGGAGCTTTATCATCGACAATGTTGTACTCCATTGTGTGTGTGTGTGTGTGTGTGTGTGTGTGTGTTGGTGAGAGTGTGAATGAGTGAATTGGTGTGGGAATGTTTGAGAGTGTTTACTGTTTGTTGATTTGTTGTGTTCCAGATGGCTGATAGTGAATGGATGCACTGCTATGCCTCTTGTCCATTATTGTTGGGACTTGTTGGGTACGATGTGTAGACCACATGCATTGTAGTTGTTGTTACATTTCGACATGGAGGTATTTATTAGTATGTGAGTGTAGTTTGATGTTGAGGTGTTTGTGGTCTGATAGTTGTTATACTGCATTGTTCACATGTGTGAGCGATGTCGTTAAGACAACTGATATTTGTGCAGTGCAATTCGTGCATATGCGTAAACGTGTTTCAGTGTAATTGTTTGTTGCGTGTTGAATGGATGTACATTGTGGTTTGCTTCACATGTTTGCTCTGAATGAGTTGTAACTTTTGTGAGTGTGTTGTTTCTGTGAAGGGTATATGAATAGTTGTGTGTTGTTCTGGTTTGGTGAATGTGTAAGTGTGGTTGGGGATTTGTCTTCTTGTCGACTCACAGGGACTCTTTTCTTTGTTTGTTGAGGGAATTTCGCTATTTGTTTATGAGAAGTGTTTGTTAGTTTTTGTCTTGTTAAAACTGTTTGTTTGACTTTGATCAATTTTTTCAACTTTCAGCTTACCCAACCGCATGGCAATGAGTATTTTGACTCCGACTACAAGTACTCAGGTTTCTGTTAGCAACAAGGTTGGTATCGTTCTATTCGATCGAGAAGTAATTTATTATTCGCTATAATATATGTAACCCAGCACTTTTTTCTTTAAAGATGATTGGTGCCATCATGGGTCGATCTGGTTGTCGCATAAACCAAGTTCGTCATGAGTCAAATGCCGATATAAAAATAAGTAAACAAGAACCCGGTGTTGAAGATCGTATAATTACGATTACGGGCACTCCTGAACAAATCCAAAACGCTCAGTTCCTTCTCCAGATGTGGTAGGTTGATTACAGATGATACAACTGTCATTCAAAATTATAATCTGATGTTTATTATTCAATCTGACTTATATGGTCATTATATATATATATATATATATATATATATATATATATATATAAATTGTTGCAGAATAGCGCTACAATGAATGACTGCTCCTTTGTGATCACCTTGAACTGAACCGGATGCGAAATTGTGTGACTAAAAGTTGATCTTAATCGCTCAGATGTATCCACAAACTCTTTTTATCTTAAGCAGCATGCCGAACTTCTTTTGCTTCCATGTCTTTTTGCCATTTTCGAATGCTTTATTTCCTACTTCCCCTTTTTTCATTTTGGTGTTTCCTACCTTGATGCGCTGATATGAGGTGTGGAACTTGAACCGTTACGCAGTGGTACCAGGTCCTATGCTGATATTGACTTTGAACTGCAACCAGTCATTCATTCAAGCATTTGTATGGTTTTACATGACTTGGTGGAAGCAGTATGAAACTGTCAAACATTGATACTTGATATTTAAACCCTGTGTTGAAGGTAAAATTAACTAGACATTTGCTCAAGTTGGACTGATATCGATTCTACCAACTACTGCTATCATTGTCAGACTTGCATATCGTTATAATCCAAGGAGATACGCTGACTGAAACACTTTTTCTTTAAGGTCTGACCATGAGAAAACCCTTTTTCAGTGATGGTAAGATAATAACCACTGTTACACTTCAAGTGACTTCGCTGCAATGGATCTCCAAAAGCGGAGTCGTATAACTGGGTGGATAGGATGTGACATTTGTAGGATAACTAGCAATTCATGTTCATGCCGTCTTCTCTTTGGGAAGAAAGGTAGTCGACCTGTAAATAGCAAACTCTTTTTTACCTTTTGATCTGCCAGTGCCAGCTGTACATGTTTTCTAGCTTGATTTGTGATTGTTAGAGTTCAAATTTCCAAAAGGGCTGCGTGATCAACTCAAGTAAATGTCCCATGGGCTCTGTTATCACACAATAATATTGCTAATCCAATCACTTTCAAGTACCATCAGAAGAAGTTATCTTCTACGGTGTGGACAGCTGAAAAGTGTCTGGTCCCCTTACCTTTGTTAGCACTCGTTTACTCAGACGATAATCAATCCTGAGCATCTTTGTCTTTTAACTTGTCTGCACATCTCTCGATCGATGTTCCTGCGTCATCTTTTATTTCTCCTAACTCTGCAGCTCTCGATAAAAATTCGAGTTCACGGGACAGCATCCTTGTTCACCTTAAACTGCGCTCTAAACTACATATTGAAGCTTACAACGTCAAAAATCTTTGAATCGAATAGGCGATTTCATTACGCATTTGGGTAGGTTAATTCAGAAGGGAAAGCACATAGATGATACTTTTGGAGGCTCCTTTCAACGGGAAACAGGTGCGACAGTTATCACACCAGTTAAACGTCACTTATTCTAAAGAAACCTGGTGCCGCAAAAAGACCCTTAAATACCGTAAATGACCCTCAGAAAAGGGTGAGAAAGGATCAGCGGATCTCATCAGATCTTCTCTATTATTGGATTTGTGTGAATGCATTCTTTTAGGCTCCAACACCAGTTAGGAGCAAAAGCACCTCAAATGTAGACTGACATAGAGTCTGCACAATAATCGGTGAAGGCCGTTTGGAATGAAAAGGCCGCAGCGAATGTCTCAGTAGACAGTTATTTAGATTAATTAGAAAAACTAGGTCAAAAGTTCAATGGGGTTAGTTAGACCACAGCGAAGAATAGGTCTGCGGTCTACTCACAAGCCAGACGACTGGAAAGGTGACTGGAACACTGAGGGACAGTCCACCTGGCCTCCAGCTACTATTCCGTTGCCACCTATCTTCTCGGATCGTAAGTGAACCACTGAAATGAGCTTGCCAACAATAGCAGAAGCTAAGAAGGCCGTAAGTAACCTGAAACGAGGAAGGGCAGCAAGATCAGATGGGCTTACGCCGGAGGTATTTAAAGACTTTGGTCAAAGATTATCGATTAGTCTAAGTGATTATCCCAGTCTTCAAGAAAAGTGGCATATCCTGTGATGATCACAGGTAAGTCTGATGAACATAGTGCCTAGGTTCCATAATCACTCGACGTCTGAGTGGAGCTTTGAGACAGCAAACGCAAGAAAACCAGGCAGGTTTCAGACTTAGTCGTGCATGTATCGACCAAACACCCACTTATTATCAGGTTTTGGAGCACAGACACTTATCAACACCCATCAATAACTTTGTTGCTTGACTTGACGGTTACATTCAACTCAGTCGATCGAGAGATCTTATGGCAGTGTTTCTCTAGCTGCTGGCTGACATGTTTGAATCCGTCACCCTACTTCCGCCATGTCTACCCCAGTAATTCTATATTCCTTCGCATAAGTAACACAGCTTAATAAACAAAGGTGTCAGATTTTTGGTTATATCACTATTAATATGGTATCTTTTTTCCCAGGTTCTTGTTCAAGTTAGTACTATCATCATCATTTCGCCGTTAGCAAACTTCTACGGCTTTGAGGCATTCATTTCGCATTTGTGAATTGTAAGCTGACACCACAGAACTGGTTTCCATCGAAATCTAATTTAAGTATAGACACTGTAGTGATAACGTACATCTACACTTTCTTTAATCGGAAAGTTACACTGATTATTAACTAGTTATCAGCATGTGTAAAAAGGCTAATCTTGTACTCACTAACTTAATGTATCCCGAATACTAACGATATATCCGACTATCTGTCAATGGGTGAGCTGTACTGTGTGTCAGTTCATCTAATGTGTCGTAACCTCATTGATACCAAGAATTCCTATGTATCCTTTACTTTGTAACAGTAATCCTCAGGTGACGAGATTTCTTTGGACGCATCTTTTATCACTTTCTGACTACTATGTTATTCTTTGTGTTCCTCTTTTTCCCTATTCCGTCATAATATTATGCTATTTTGTGTGAAGTTCAACTGAGTTCTTTTCAAGAACTTAATTTGCTACTCACAATAACTCCAGGTCATTACTTGTGACTTAATTTTTTGAACAATTATGTCCCCTCGAATTCGATGGCATCCATAAGCTTGCGTAGCCTTTGATGTGTGCAATTCTATGTGCCACCATCCTAATCATTTTTTTAGCTGATATTTATAATATCATATGTATTCAGAGGTAGTTCTTAACGATGCGTTGTACCTCAGGTAAGGGCTGAATCCTAGTTAATTTATGATCATAACTTTCAATGTTTGTTAAACTGGGGACTCCAATGTAATCGAATTGGAAAACACTCAGCAACCTCATGCACGTTCTTACAGTTGGTAATGAGCCACACCTTTTGTGTAAGGATTAATCATACTACCAGACTGTCCAGACCTGTGTAGGTGTAGTGGGGTTCAAAAAGTGACTCGTCGATTGGAAGTCGAGTGTTTAGACCAGTGAGTCACAGCTCCAAAAAATCCTGTATAACTTTTATGCTAATTCATAAATTGCAAGAGAAAACTTCATTCGGTGTTAACGGACACCATTACTTCTTAGACCCAACTTTTGTGTTTACAGCGTTCTAGCCTCATAGTTTTGTGCTGCTCATGCAAACAGTACATCTGATCATTTTGTGTTTTCATGATATGAATAATTCATGTCTCTGTAGCCAATTGATCATCTGTCTTTTACACTTGGTTTCCATTTTACTCACACAAGTAATTGATTTGTACTTCTTAATTTTGTGATTTACCTTTTCTGTTTCTTCCTCTTCCAGCGTTAAACGATATGGTGATCAAATGTGATTCCCCTCCAATTACATCCCTATTTTCTTTTTGACTCCATCTGTTATGAAACAATGAAAACTTCCTTTATTGTCCTGGAATGCTTTACCTGATCATTTCAACCATTGAGATGTCGTATGCAGTTAACTTATTGATGTTCTGTGGTTTTGTAAAAATTGAAAACTTATTGTTTCTTCATGAGCAGTTGTTCCTGACTAATATAAATTTTATTGAGATCAACTGGGCGTTTTACTTTCTGTTGTGAGTTAATTTCGCATACCAAGTATATATGTAGTAGCATCTTGTCTTTCGGCGTAGCTAGTACCTGTTTACGATTTTATAAAGTTTATTTGTTTACTCTTCTGTAAGTACAAGAGATCTTATGGACCGTACAAAACAAGTCTGAAAAACTACCGCTATCTCAGATAGTTAAACTAATAGCTGTAAGAACATCATAGATTAATCATTGTTGCCTACTGAATTCAAAATTTCTTCTATGTTAAGGTACTTAGTTTAACCGGATTTTAACAATTGACAACAAAAGCTGTTGAGATAAGAACTTCATAAAATTTGACAAATTAAATATATATAATCAAAGCTAACAATCACAAATTTCGGTTACTAAAAAAAAGTAGTTTTACGTCGCCTAAGAACTCTTGAGTAGTATTTTTACTATGCATGAACCATACTTCTAAGCAATTGGTGATCAGATACTTGCAACTTGGAGTCTACATCTAGTGGTTGTATCTCACGCTGACACTGAAGTCGGTCATGAGTGAGGGATCGACCTGTGGCTCAGTCGTTTACGGAGATAACTACCAACTGTTGGGTCACGGGTTTGAGCCTCTCTCCATCTACCGTGGTTTTGGCAACCAGGCAGTATCACTAGCTGGCACGCAGTAGGTGTGACTCATTGTCTACCGCACGAATGTGCACAAGGTAGCTGAGTTTACAAATAAAGGGTTGGCACAATTGTGTATCAGTCTTCATATTAGAGCATCAAAGCGAAGTCAAAACTGAAATACAGGAATAGAAATAATCATTTCAGCTCCTCACAAGGAAATGAAGTTAAGATGCCATCTGGCATGACGTTGAAATGGTTGCCAACCAAAAACCCAGCTGAGTAAACAACAAACAGCATCTAAACTATGAATATTCTATATTTCTAAGGTGAGACTGGTAACAACGTTTGGCGTTAGACATACCTACTGATACCTACTGCAGGATTCTTCGTACTTTGACTAGAAAGCTTGACGTCCATGCATGATCCACATTACATAAATTAAACTTTGGTCTGACCACCTTGGAGCTCCTTTTGAATCAATCGCACAGTAGGGTGAGTAGGTAGGGATGACCCAGTCACCACACTTGATCCAACTCTACAACTTCATTGGTTGACTCTCTCTTCTCTGGATCTTGGGTTAACTATGCTAACTTAAAGATCCCGTTACACGTGAACAGTGTTATGAATACAATCAAATACTTGTAGCTTCATGTCGTACATCAGCGATTGCATTGGTCGGAGAGAAAAGCAGGAACTCTGGACAGTATATGATTAATGACAGTAGACATGCAATTAGGGTACCACATTAGTTTGCTTATTTTGGTGTAGCCCACAATTATACAGTATCAGTTATCAGATCAAGTTCTCGATATAATTTATCGTCCATCAAACAAATCACAGAACTGTGTTAATTCAGTTTGCCTTGCTTCAGAACAAGCGAAACAGCAAGTGACATTTGAGTAAGCAGTATCAGATTGTTAAGAGTGTCAATAAACGAGGTCTAACAAAAGTGTACAAGTTTCTGACATGATGAAGAGTGAATACATCTATGCCACTTTGATCGTTTATTAAAAGTATCACCGATAGTGTTAACATCACTGAGCTGAGACAAACAGCTAGAGGCCTCATGGATTAGTGTTATATTGTATCAAGGTGATCTCGCCCGTAGTTATGATTATTTACAAAAAGAAACTGCCAGACAGTCTAGTAAGTAATGCTCTCTTATATCAAATATTGGAATTAACATGGAGTTATAGTTTACTGCTTTGTCCACGTTCAATCCATGTCACTGGTCACCGTCGCCTCCGATAGTAAATCTTTGTAGGATCTCAGTGTAGTCGGAAAGGAGAATGGATGTTGTCCATTGATGATACCAAATGGTATGGTAAGATTAATTTGATTGTCTGTAGAATTTACTGTTATGTAAATAAGTAAACTATACACTACACTGTTAATCGAGTTGGAAATTCAGGTTATGAAATCGGTACACTTAACTCGCTTTGATCGAAGGGTTAATATTCGGCACCAAAACTAAGTGGAATCAAAAGACTGAATTTCGAACTCGCTGACTACTATTATTTTGAAGAATATCCAGATGAGAACATAAGGGATAAAAACAACCAAGTTAAAATGTAGTTCGACCTTCAAATGGTGATAAGGTATCTAGCGAATAAGTAATAAATCCAAAGCTTCACTTTTATCTGCCCTAAAAAGGAGTCGGCGCATTAAGTTACGAATTATCGTATCAAAAGTATTGGCTGTTTGATTACATCATTGCAAGGACTCAGCCTTCAGTTTGATTCTGTTTAATTTTGCAAATACTCACTATTTAGAGTCCCAAGTGAGAATAAAAAAGCTTTTCAGTGCTCAATGGTTTACGAAAGGTTTTCGATTTGATAAAAGTTATTTTCGAGGTAGGAAGTGGATATTTAAACTCCCTCAAAATATATTACAGTAATCGTAAGGTGGAGCTCAGTCGCTGAATATATATTTAACTAATCCTGGAAGCATTAATCAAGGGAATATGCTACCATTATGTCCTCGTAAGAACCTGTTTTAGGATTTGTCCTGGTGCGAACTTGACAAACGCAAAGACCGATCACTAATTATTCGGACTTGTTATATATATCCACGAGTACGAGACCAAGGAAGAACACGATAGCGTGGTAGGATGGAATAGTATATTTGGATGGTTTTGCCAAGATACCGATGCGTTCCAACTAACTTAGCTAGAGAGTCGAATACGAGCAGTGCAACGTAACACGACAGCGTGTCAAATAGCGAGGATGCTTGACTGGATGCCTTCAGCTTAGCAAGTCCAGTTAAACTATCAAGGTCAGCACCACTGTTGAATATCGTCGAACCTTAGGCTATTGATTTTGGGGAAGTGTGTGACGCTACACTGTCTTGCACAACAAAATGTAATGATTAAATACCAGTTCACTAATGGCGAGCTAAACTTATTGGTTAGAACATCTTAAAACAGCCTCAGTGCTGAGCGAAAAAGATAGAGAAAGTTACTAAATGAAGTATTGTTGAGTTCAGTAACAATCGACTGGAACTATATGGTTAACTTCAGAACGTTATTATGATACTTATTAGAGCGACAAACAACTGAATATGATCTACGGCTTCGTACAGGCCAATATCCATTCTTCAAACAATATTTCATGTCGTAGAATCCTCTATAGTAATAATAATAATAATTCTATTTCCTTCACCTGATCACCTTGTTCTATTTGATAAGATGATGAGCAGTGCTTTCATTGCTCAACGCAACACTACATCTCTACTCAGTGGTGGATACAGATAGACCACATTGCTATCAGCCATCGCTGGAGAGGATCGGTGGAAGACTGCCGCTCCTTCTGGAGTACATGTTTGGATAGCGACTACGCGTTGATCCGAGAGCATATATACCTGCGTCTCAGTGGACATAGGAAAAATCCGCAACAAAACCGTTAAGAGTACAGCTCGACAACGAAAACACCAAACCCGTGTTCAGTGAGAAGTTGGCTAGGCAGTTATCGGAACAAAAGACTATCACTTATCCATCCAAAAGAAGCTTGGTGCCATCTACAGTCTGCTGTAAAAGCAGCATTGAAGACCGTAACCGACTCAGAAACAGTCGCTACAAAGAGCCAGTGGATATTAGCAGCTTCTTCCGAACCAATAGATGCACGTGAATGCATCCCTGGAGGCTCTATGTACAATGAAGAGTGAGCGCAACTTAAAAGTAGATTGAGAAAAAGTCTACGCAACGACCCCGAACAGTGGTGGGCAGCGAAGGCTAAAGAGATGAAGAAGGTGGTGGCGATTGGTATCTGCGGACAGTTATTTAGACTTATTAAGGAAACTGGGGGGAAATATGAACAATGGTTAGTTAGGCTATAGAGGAATGGGACAGATCTATAATTCACTCTCAGGGGAGACGACTGAAACGATGGGCAGAACACTTCGAGGAACAGTTTAACTGGCCTCCAGACACCATTACGTTGTCCGCTATCCAGTCAGATCCTAAATGGAACACTGAGATAGGCCACCCAACACTAGCAGAATTCGAGAAAGTAATAGGTAACCTGAAACGAGGAAGGGCAGCAGGACCAGGCGGACCAACTCCAGAGGTATACAAGGATGTTGGTAGAGTGCTCTTAGTCAGGTTAACGGAAGTGTTAGCCAGTATATGGGAATCAAATACGATCCCCTCTGATTGGTCTAAATCACTGATTATCCTAGTCTTCAAGAAAGGTGAGAAGTCCTCTTGTGACAACCACGGAGGAATCAGCCTGACGAACATAGTGTCTAAAATTCTAGGCTCTATACTTCTTCGACGCCTGAGTGGAGCTTGGGAACAGCAAGCTCGAGGAAACCAGGCAGGCAGGCTTTGCACCCGGTCGCGAGTGTATTGTCCAAATATTCACACTGTGTCAGGTTGTGGAATATAGGCACGCTTACAGACACCCGACAATAGCTGTATTTCTCGACCTAAAGGTGGCATTCGACTGCGCTGATCGAGAAGTCTTATGGTAATGTCTCTCACTGAAAGGCGTGCCGAGTGAGTACATCACCTCATTGAAGGCTCTCTACTCGAACACTTGTGGGCGTGTTAGAGCCTATGGTGAGATGTCCAGGGAGCTTTGATCATCGAGTGGTGTCCGTCAAGGATGCCCACTCTCTCCATTTTTATTCATTTTTGTCATAGGTATTCTTATGGAGGTTTCCCTCTCATCACCAGATT